CTGGGTTCCTAGCTTTCGTTTGATATGCATTAAGCCATAGTTGAAATATTTTCTATTTGTGGAGGTCATTAGAGGTCATTAGAGGTCATTAGAGGTCATTAAAGTTCAATTTGATTTTATTATAGGAATTTCGAACCCTAATTAGGCGTGCATCCAAAAAATTGGAAGATTTGAACCAAAAATGAAGGCAGGGCCCCCCCCCCCTACATCAAATGTGCCAACTCCACCATCCCCTTTAATCAGCCACCCGTCATGTCTCGGTTTAAGGTTTCTACGCTGTTCTTTCGGGGCAAAATGTTTCGTCGGATATTTGGTAATCTTAATATATAATAAATCATTTTGCATGAAGCTATAGCTGGCCAAACAGCTAGACCTTATTGGCTGATATGTTTTGGAAGCCCATGGGTACAGTGTACAGAATACAATGAGGGTGAACGCCAAGCACTTCAGCAAAAATCCTGATTTAATTAAGTGCAGGTAGGTAAACGGCGGGAGTAACTTTGACCATTATCAAAAGTATAAACTTTGGCAACGCCAGGCACTCTAGCTAGTTCTTAATAACGTATAAGAGTCTCTTAAAAAAATACGCCAAGGATTTTATTTCTTGCGTTCAACACTGAGCTGCGAAGAGAAAATGCTCGCTGGTGAAATCAATGAAAAAAATTAGATCTTAACTTAGAAAAGGAGGAAGAGAGTCCTTAAAGATTTTACAATAAAGGGGAACAACATGTTCAATATTATTTTAATTTAAAAATTGTACTTTTTACTTGACTCACGCGCGGAAGTCGCCTTAACGTTGGCATCAAAATAAATCCATAAAAACTAGTTTTTTGGTCTGTTGACGTAATCTGAATTGGGCTCCATATTAATAGTGATTTTAAGACAAGGAAGGAAATTGTCAGAATTTATCTATTCAAGGTTGACAAATTTTGATATCTAATTCATTGTTTAGGGGGAGTGTAACAATTGAATTCCTATGATTTACTACCATGCAAGAGGTTTGCAAACCCTAATCTGCACTGGTTTAAGCAAGACGACATTTAGTCTATGCTGCTAGAACGTTTATATTGAGATGCTATACTGTCCGACCTACTGTCGTTTGAGCAATTGCATGTTTCGACAATTGTTTGTTTATCCATCATATAAGCTATCGTAGCAGTTTGAATAAAGATTACATTACAAGGGCCACTATAAGAAAAGAGAAGTTCATTTGGACAACTTTTTTTTGTAGAAAATTATGACATAAAATTAAAATTTAAATCGAAAAACAAAATATGTTAAATGAAAAACAAAAAACTAGATAGCAAAAATTAACATAAATGTCTATATGAACAAACGTGAAAATAATAATAGTTCCTATGACGTTAGTTTAAGTGACTAACCACCATATGAAATAACTGGTAGATAAGTGAAGATTTTCAACAAAGAACGATGATGAGATATTAACATTCAACATAAGAGTTTACTTGCACATGGTGTACAGTTTAATTCGTCTGAATTTTACTTTATAATTTTTAATTTGAATGAATGTACACTACAATTTAAATGATTAAGTAATAATTTAAATGTCGTCTTTCTTAAACTAGTGCCAATTTCTGGGGTTTGCACTGCTCTTGCAGGGTGTATCCCTTTAACCCATGAATGAATGATCCAGAATATCAGGATTGATACCAGATACTTGTTTATGTGGATTTATTTTATCTACGCAGCAACCTGTTCTAAGAATAAACGTATTTAGGATAAATTCTCTGGGTTTAATCATGAAATTGAAGAGATCACAGCTACTCAGAAAAGGTTTTGATTAATTTTTCTATCGTATTATTTTATGTTTTAGCTTTTATCTCGTATTACTTTACTTAAATTAATTTATTTCAGAATGAATGATTGTTGGTTTTTATTTTGATAAACTAGGATTAGAGTACCTTTGTCGAAACATTCGCCTCACGAATCATTTTCTTAATTTTTCAAGATTCATATCTATATTTAAAATAATTTGGAAAAATAATTTTTTTACTGCGGAATTTAATTATTAAAATAAATATATATGTATAAATTTTCAGTTGTATCTTCAGAAAAAAACTTGACTAAGAGTAATACATATATGTATTTAGTAACTGATAAATTCTAAACTGTGCCCTGAGTATTTTATGATATTCATCAGTAATACAAATTTCTACATATCAATTTTTAGTTAATTTACAACAAAAAAGAAGACAAGAATTATTCCACAGCTTTCTATTTAGTATTTACCCTGTTTATTTAATAAATCTAATTTTAGATATATTTTAGATACTCAATTCCTGATGTTGAGCTTCGGGAGTCCTTGAAGAGGGATAACAAGGAGTATATACTCCCTAAGTACAACAGTTTCTATGATAAATATGTAAATGTTCCGTTTACCAAGAATACGGATAAATATATTAAATACACTCCAGCCCAGGTGTCTGGGCTCATTGATAGTTTCTTTGATGTTGCCGCCTAGGCCGAGTTTCTTTGATGTTGCCGCCTGCCTGGTTTGACAACATTGAAAAACTATAATTTAGAAAGTTACAGGAACAATTAGAAATATGAAAATTTACTTTTATCCCAGAGGTATGATTTTAAAAATATTTAAAAAATGAGATTTTTTTTAAGAATAAGATTTTTTTTAAACTAAGAAAAGCTAAAAACTTTTATGTGAAATAATGTTATTTAAGAATGAAGGAATTTTTTTTAGGAATATTCACCACTGTTTTATCCATTTCTGGATAAATGGTTGGGCTAATGGTCCAAACTTTAGTTTAAAGAAAGTTTATTAATTTCTGATATCTAATTGACTATTATTGTCTTAAGGGTAAACATTAGACATCGCTTGAGCAAACTATAGTTACCAATTCATCAGGTTTCCTAGATTGGACGTTGATCCCCACCCCCCCCTTGTATTTATGAAAACCTTCACATTTTGGAACAAACCTTTAGCTTGCACTAATTAAGCAGTTCTTTTTAAACAGGGCTTCCAGTTAAATGCATTTAGTTTGAATATTTACATTTTATTAAATTCTTTAAATTAGTTATTATACTTTATTGTAGATCTTTTTTCACTTTTATAAATATAATATCTGTGATATTAAACTGTTTACTATTTTTGTACCCTACAAAGCAAATAAATTGATCTTGTTAAAAATATTCCAAATTTACAGAAAAATGGCGACTGGAGGTACTGAGTCTGGTTCAGTAATGGATCAAATGCTGAAATTGTTTGAACCTCCAGGAGGATATCCTCCAGAAAGGTAAGCCTGGAGACGGTGCTTAGGAAAAATATTAAAAATATCCGTTTCTCCGAATCGTTTTCAAGTTTTAAAATGATATTCAGCGGGGAAAAAAGAAAAATAATTTGAAAATACCCTTAATATACTTATCTTGAAAAAATCAGTAAATCTTAAAGAAATGTTCATGACCTGGTTCCGGGTCCATTTTTTATGGATCCTATGCACTACTAGGAAGATAATTTGGAAACCAAATGATGGTCAATGATATTATCAAAAAACCCATTTTTTTTTACTTTTTAATCTCAATATGTGTTATTTTGAATTTTTAATGAGATTAATTTCCAGTCGCTTTTTACAGCTTTATAGTTGTATAAAATAACATAGCAATCAATATTCTAATTGATAAAAAGAATTATGTTAACAAAAATTGAGTGCACTTATATTTAAGTTGATATTTTAAACAGGGACGCAGAACTTCATCCATATTTTCGTCGGCCTGGCCGGGGACACAACCACGATACTTGCGACTCATGTCGAGAAGGCGGAGCACTTATATGCTGTGATTCCTGTCCCGCCTCCTTTCATCTCCACTGCCACGATCCACCGCTAGAGGAAATTAATCAATCAGTGAATTCATTAATTGTAAATAAAGGGGGGAGGGGGTTGTCAGAGACATTATTTAGAGTTGCGCATCTGTTTAATAATTTAACAGAATTTGTGATAAATTTTTAAGATTTAAATAATCAAATATTTACAATTTTAAGAAAAGTAAAAGTGATTATTTTGATTATTTCTTGTTTCTACAGTGGGACCCATTAAACTGCAGAATTGGAAGACGACTTAGTTAAATAGACCTGAAACAATGCGATGGTGCAGTGTACACTACACAGACTCCTTTGACTTACTAGAAATCTAGTCATTCAGACACAAACAAGTGAATTGCTCAATGGCGTCTTTGTATTCTACAGTTATATTGATTTCACCGCAGATTCTGATGATTGATTGATTGATTGATGTTGCTGAAGGATGAGGATATACCTGAAGGGGATTGGATGTGTATAAAATGTTTCGCTGGTCATCCTGATCAACAGGTACAAATCAAATAGTTCTTTTCTTGAATTTCTTGTATTAAAACTAATCTACGATAGTATGTCAAACCTACCGCTCATAAATTGGAGGGTCTCTTGAAATTACGCCTGCAGTTCCTATTAACCAGTGCTGATCCGCAAGATTTTGGCTTCTTGGATCCGGATCCAAGGGGTAAAATATCGACCAAAAACTGCAAAAACAACTTTTTACTCCTAAAACCCTGCTTTGAACTATTGAAAAAAAGAGATTATAAAAATTTCCTCATTTCTGAATAGTTCATTAAGTTTTAGAATAAAAATAAGCGAAAAACTAAAACAAAAAATTTGAAAATTAATTTTTGTTAAAAAAATTAGTAAATCTTAAAGAAATGACCTGGATCCGGATCCATTTTTTTTCAGTGCGGATCCAGAATCCGGATCCGCATCAAAATTAAATGGATCTTAAGCACTACTTTTAACTCTGGAAAATGAAATGTTTAGAATACAATTAATATGGAAGCATTATTTGGTCTGTGATTGCTGCTAAAATTCAAGAAATTCAAAAATATTTTTTTACATTTCAGAAGCTGACAACACCAGGGCTGTCAGTAGAGACAGCTGTCAGCAAGAAGGCAGAAAAAGGAGAACTAGAGTTAAGTAAAAAATCTGCTCTGGACAGGAGTAAAGGTAAAGGTGAAGCTGACAAGAGTAAAGGAAAACCTGATGCTGAAAAGAGCAAGATCAAGATTGAAGCGGAGAAGGACAAACTGAATGTCTTTTGTGATAATTTTTATCTCAAAGCTGAGTTATTTTCCCTGAAAATCAGTATTTTCTTCATTTTTTTCCAATTATTTTTAAGAAAATAATTTTTAAAAAAATGTATCGTAGACGTAAAATTATGGTATAATATTTGACCAGGTTGGAGATCATGATTGGAGGCCGAAGAAACGAAAACCTCTGGATGGAGAGGACATGAGACCAAAACGAGCAACAAGGTAAAAGAACAGAATGATTGATTGGATGAATCGAAATATTTCAAATGGGTGAATTAAAAAAAAAATAACTTGAAAAACTTGAGGTCACAACAAATTAGGAACAAATTAATATATACAATATACAATTGACAGTACATTTTTATTTAGTTAGTTTATTCTTCAATTCTCCTCTTTCTGTTAAGAGATTAAGGTGGAATTTTTTATCTTTAATAAAGTACTGTATCATCATGTACATTCTGATTTATGCGTTTTTAATAAATGTTTAGATCGACATAACAATTCAATGTTGCAGCAAAAATTGATTAAATAACATTGAATAAAGATACGACAAAATAATGCAAGGTGATTCAAATTAGCATGGCTCTAAAAGGTATTAATATAAGGGCGCAAAAAGACTTTGCAAAACTAAGGGTAGACCAGCAGAATTTGTTGAACTAAAGTTTAACGAGAAAAATAATGTTTTGAATAATGAGAAAAGGCTTTGCTATGAAAATAATGTTTACTTCATGCATCAGGATGTTGAAGAAGACGAAGTATAATGATAACAGTACAGAGGAGGAGTACAGTGAATCAGAGTTCCTGGATCTGGTCACCAACTCAACCAACCCTCCTCTCAGGTTTGGTGTCATTGCATTCAAGTGTTATTTAAAATAAACATCTTGTCTATTGAGGTTTTCGTTATTTAAGGGGTAAATATTTTGTATATTGTCCTACCCCACCCACCCCGGAATTTCAGTTAATCAAAAAAAACGAATATACTTTTTAGACGCCAGAACTACTTTGATATTTACGCTGAGCACCTAGCGAGGAAACCTAGAACTACATCTACGCTGTTTAAAGCTCTAGTAGAGGCAGCCAATATTCAGGTATAAACCAACCTAGCGAGGAAACCTAGAACTACATCTACACTGTTTAAAGCTCTCGTAGAGGCTGCCAATATTCAGGTATAAACCAACCTAGCGAGGAAACCTAGAACTACATCTACATCAGCTTTGTTTAAAGCTCTAGAAGAGGCTGCCAATATTCAGGTATAAACTAACCTAGAACTACATCTACGCTGTTTAAAGCTCTAGGAGAGGCAGCCAATATTCAGGTATACCATCTGAATACTTAATCACTTGATAATATAAAAAATTCCGTAACTAAATTTTGTTATAGTTAAAAGCTGGAAACTTTTGAATGGCTAAAATGAGTTCAATTTACTCCATTTATTCAAAAGTTACCACCTCACCTGAAGAATAAGTGCGAAATAAGGAAACAAAGGGACCGTTGATTGTGTGATCTAACCTAATAGAATAGATCGGTACGGAGAGATATTGACTTATTGCTTATCGATTCCGGTTTTATTTGATTAAACTAATTTTTTTTTGTTCTAATTTTAGAATGCGGAAGAGTTCCAGCTGCCGAAGAATATCCATGTTCCTGAAAAGTTTCCCTACGCTTGGAAATGGTCCACGGAGGAACGACGTCTCAGGTATATAATTCCCTATCTTCTTAGGAAAATGCAGTAATACACGGCTATGGTAAATAGGGATCATAATTGATTCTTCAAAGTTCATGCATGTTCCATAAATTCAGCATTATTTTTGGGATAAATTTATCCATGTTGTATTATTTGGTGTCTTATAAATTTATTTTTATTATTAGACTACACGCGGCAGAGGATGGTGAGAACAGGGGTAAACCTAAACTTTGCTACACTTGTGTCAGGTAATACTTTTGCAGGGAATATATTCTATTAGAAGTAGGGAACTCACAGTCCACGTCNCCCCCCTCCGACATCCTCTACTTTCTTATCACCATTTATCAGTGACATACATTCATAAAGTTTTATAACATTTTCGATTAGTTGCTAATAATTTTGAAACTCGCGGATTTATAATTATTTTCTTAGATTTCCTTAAAATCTGGTGAAAATAGCGACAATAGCCAATAAGTCAAGTTTCGTTTTAGATTGATTTTTTGTCGGACAACAAAGATTTTTATATGAAAATGGTTTAAAGAGTTTATGCTCACTCTGATTTCATCAATTTACAATTTATTTCAGGTCCAGCCGTCTCGGACCTCTAGTCCAGTGTGATTTCTGTCCTTGTGTTTTCCATATGGACTGCTTGGATCCCCCCTTGGCTGAGATACCAAGTGATGTCTGGATGTGTCCGAACCATGTTGAAAGTCTCCTGGACTCACGTCTCACCTCCAGTCGCCTCACGGAGCGGGTCAACTTATGGGATAAGTTTGCAAATCAGCAGCTTGACGGTCACGCGGTTAAACTGCAGTTTTTAAAGAAATGTGCGCGAAAGAACCCAATGTTTACGCGACGAGTTGCTACCGTTGCCGCGAGAAAGCGTGTTCAGGTAATTCGTCTTAAAGGACCTGTCAACCTAATTAGTATGTTCTGTTTACAACGGTTTTTAATGGAACCTAAACCAGCAATGAGGAAAATATATTTTTTTTGAAATTACAATTTTCTTTTTAATTTTGTATTTCAATATCTAATTTTTGAATTTCTAGGTTCCGACCTTTATCAAGGTTCAGTATTCTCAACCTCCCTCCCTACTTCCTGGACCTGGATATGATAGATGGAAGGATCCGACAGTTAACCGGAGACTCCAACCAAACCTGGAAGATTCCGAGGATCAATCTCTGTCTCCGGCTGAAGATGATGAACCCAAGATTAGGACTGAATCAAGTCTAGATTGTGATGAAAACTTTTCTCCTGAAACTGATGAGACTGCTGAAGATACTCCTAACACTTGTAAAGCTTCCAAAGTAGAGTTGGAAACCAATGATTCTCCTGAAAGTGAACTCGGGATTCAGATCAAAGAAGGAGTGAGCAATGTACACACAGAAAATGGTAACACCTCTCAGGAGACCCCAAGTTGGCCAAAGCAAACCAATCTTCCAGTGGAACTAGGTAAATCAGCAATTGTTCAGAAACCATCAGCTCCCATTAAACCAAGTAAACCGTCCTTTGAATCTCAGATTAGTGAACGGATAGATATTCTTGAGACCCGAAGTGAAGATGAACTTGAATGGGTTTCATCTCTGGTTTCTCTGCAAACAGCTCTACTAAAAAAGAAGATGGGTCGGGGAGAGAGTTTAAGATGTCAGGAAAGGTTTCCAAGTCGGGACGGGTTTGAGGAGAAGGATGAAAAGTCTCCGAACAGTTCCACTATCTCCGGGATGTCAGGGAAGGTCGCAGGGGAATCTCAACTGATGGAACAGCTTCAGGTGGAAAATAAATTATCTAATATTTTTTGGATTACAATTTATAAATTTAAATGTCAGAATCTCTAGATTGAATTTAAGTAAAAGTGTAATTGAAATCATGATATCAAATTCTGGAACAGTCGCATTTTATGATATATTCTAGGATTACCTAACAAGCACCCCGGAGGTTGACAACCTAGATCCTATTGTGCTCAAGTACCTGGCTTCAAAACAAATCCAGAATATTCTTCCTTCAAGGTAGAAACCTGTTTTTTCATTATTAACATGCGCATTTTCGGCTGGTTCTATTGATTAATTGATTTAGATTAAGTCAGCTTGAATCCCGAGTTCGAGCTCGTGCTTCTCTTACTCCGGTAGGGTCGAGGAAGCTACCGTTCTACCTGCAGTATAGATCCCTGGATATAGGAACCGGCTCCGGTATACAGCTTAATCTCAGGTCTTTCATTAAACTTGTAAAATGTAGATCACAAACCCTGTGTTAGGACTCTATTTCCGTATTAATGAATGCTGAATAAGATATATTTGTAATCACTAAATATGAATCCAGAAAATATTAAAAGTAGGGAACAAATTACTTTATACTTATAAGCAAACACGATCTTTTAAAAGCTGAAATAAAGGAAATGTTTTGAAAATAAAATAAATATGACATGAGGAAGGGGAGGTGGGGGGGGGGGGGGTAAGTTAAAGTTGTAAAAACAAATCCGGCTCTGATTTAAAACTGAATGAAAACGCCCATCCCACGCTTTAAATTGTTCAGAATCATTTTTCTTGTTCAGGGATTTTGGTTCATGTTGCCTGGTTTCTGACCGACACGCTACTCTCTTCTACGACGAGCTGAGCGGTCAGTACGAGCTGATCAACTACAGCAGACATGGTACTTGGGTTGATGAGTGTTTGTACAGCCTGGATGTACGGTGCGTTGAAAACAGGTAAGATAAAGATTATTTTGTTTCTATCTCATAAAAAGTTTGTAGGACATATTTTCCAATTTCGGACAACTTTTCATAGAGCTAATACAATTGTGGGGACAGAAATTCAACCACCTTTGCTCAGTTGGTTTTTATAATTTCACACAAATTCAATATTAATCAGGTACAAAAAGAAGCCTAAGTTGGTTGCTTCAGTTCCTGTTATGGCCGGAGTTTCTGCAGTCCAGACTCCCTGCTACTGTAACGGTACCCCGGAACAAGGTCTGGACGAATTTGAGGGAAGTGCTATTCTTCATCATGGAAGCAGGCTCAAGTTCGGGTGCTTGGAGTTCGTATTCACTGTGGGTGCTTCCTAATCCTAGCATTTCTTTGAAACTCTAATCTTGCTTATTTAATCCGCTGTATTTAATCCTGTGGATTCTAATCCTGCTCATTAGATACCTGTAAGCTATATTTCGTTGTCTTGCTCTGATTATTTTTGTTATTCTCTTTTTAATACTAAAGAAAAAGAAAAAAACGAATTTTAGTTCCGATCTCTTCTACCTTATCCGTGAAGTACAAAGCCAAGATCTTGAAGAAATTTTTTAATTCAAGTATCACCGTGTCATCTAAACTTTTATTTTTATTTTTAAATATATTATTAATTTAATATGCAATTAACTTTTTCAGTATTTGTCATATTTAATCCTAGTTCTTAAATAATAAAGTATAATATGACGGTATGTTGCTATGTAACAGTTTTCAGATATTAAAATGACCAGAGAGGAGGGAAAACGTCCTCAGTTCGGAGGACGCGTCCTAGGGGAGGGAGAGGACGTGTTCAAGCATAATGCTTGGGACAATGTAGAATGGGATGAAGGACAGGTAAAGGTTTTTACTTTCGAGATATTAGTTAGTTTGTGTTTAAAGGGACTGTATACGTTATTTTAAGTCACCCTTCATTGTAAGATCTGATTCACACCGATATCCATAAAAGTTGTCTGATAAAAAATAGATTATCATTTTCAATTGCGGTGTTTTTTGAAAAGTAAATTGCAAATTTAGTTTACTGAGACAATAGAGGACATTGTCAGAATTAAACATCTTTTAAGGTAGAATAACGCTGATATCTTCCACATGACTGATTTATTTTTTATGTTTGTATTTTGTAAACTGATTATTTTTTACTATGTTTCTCTACAAAGTAACTTACGCATTTCTCCTGTAGAAAACCAATATGAATAAGAATAAGAATTTAACACTTCAAACCTAAAAAATCGACAATATCTTCCACATTACTGATCAGATAACTGTTTTAATGGTAACGTTGTGAATTAGGCATTACCATCTTTGCATTGATGGTCACATAAAGTTACGCTTATACTTCCTTTAAATTATCAATCATTTTCAGGAAGAGGCGGCAGCAGCTGCTATTAAAGAAGCTGCCGATATCAGAGTATCTGAGGATGCCGCGGAGGGTTATGAAAAGAAAGCTGATGAATATTGGGATACGTTTTATGGAATACATCAAAACAGATTTTTCAAGGAAAACAATTTGTCAATCTTGAAAAAACAATTAAATTAAAAATAATAATTTGTTAGTTTTAATTTTGATTTTTGTATCTGTAACATTGTACTTGTGATAAGTCCCTTATGTTTTTTTTTAAAAATTTTATAACTGATTGATCAAACGGTTGACTTATTGGTTGGTGAACTAGGACCGAAACTGGTTATTTACGGAGTTCCCAGACCTGGCCCCAAAATACAGGAAGATATTTAACAACAAAAGTAGCCGAAGCTTTTTGTAAATGATTTTTCATTTTACAGTGGTCCTTGAAATTTGCCAGAAACATTTGTTAATAACGCTTGAGGTGCATGCTCACATTAACAATTAACCATGTGTTGATTCTTTCGAAAAAGTGTGTTTGTTGTAAAAAGATTTTTTGGCTTTCCATGCCACCATATTATGGCGACCACTGATGCATTTTTTATGCCTTGCCATATTTCACCTTCTTATTCAGGTCCATTATATTTACTTTCTAACTACGACACGTTGTAAAAGGAAAGATGAAAATTTTGAATATCTTTTGATAGAGGAGCACCGGTCAGAGTATATACAAAGAACACAAAAGACCCAGATTTAGCGCTAGCAGAAGAATCTGCTGAGAATAAAGAGGAAAATAGCGACGAGGTCGAGGGGAATAAGTATGTTACTTCACTCATGCAACAATTGAATACAAAAGTTTATCGTAACAGAAAAAAATCATTTGATAAGAATAACATTCAATGTAAATAATATGAAAAAAATGTATTGAATAAAAAAGTGCCATTTAATTTTGACACAAATTTTATTTAAATTTATGAGTTGTGCAGTTTTTGAAAACAAATATGAAAAGAAAACTGTTAAAATGTCAAAATATATATCTATGATCAATAAAGATATTTAATTTTAGATGTGATGCTGAACTTGATATCCTTGATCGGAGCAAGGTTGAAGAACTTAGGACCGGAGAGGAATGGTTCGGAGAGAACTCACATTATAGGAACATAAACAATCAAAATCCTACTAAGCCAGCAGACCAATAGAAATCCTTCTAAATCTCCTGAGCAATAGAAATCCTTGTAAACCTCCTGTGCACTATATTATATATCCTTGTAAGCCACCAAGCAATATAATCATTTTAAACCACCTGAGCAATAGAATTCAGTGTAAAACCACCTGAGCAATAGAAAGCAGTGTAAAACAACCTTAGCAATAGAAATCTCAATAGAAATCTGTGTAAACCAACTGAGCAATAGAAATCCTTGTAAACCACCTGAGCCATATATTATATAATATATATCCTTGCAAACCACCAAGCAATAGAAATCCTTGTAAACCACCTGAGCCATATATTATATATCCTTGTAAACCACCAAGCAATATAATCATTTTAAACCACCTGAGCAATAGAAATCAGTGTAAAACCAACTGAGCAATAGAAATCCTTGTAAACCACCTGAGCCATATATTATATATCCTTGTAAACCACCAAGCAATAGAAATCATTTTAAACTACCTGAGCATTATTTTAAGTCATTTTGCATCATTTACCTTGATTCTTTAATTTACAGTCATTTTCTCAAATGTCACAACCAAAACATTAGGTTTTTTTAACAGTTTGACGCAGCCCACGGAAAGTTCAAAGAAGTTTGCTGCAGCGGGGGGGGGGGTTGTATGGGGGGCAGCGCCTACCTTGCGAAGAAAATTTTTCATATTTTGGTTGTATCATGGAGTGTTTTTGGTACCCTGAAAAGGTCAAAAACCAGGTCCCCTCTGAGATTTAAAAAAAAAATCTTTTAAGCTTTTTAAATGGGGGCAAAACTTGATATTGATATTAAGGGAAAAAAATATGATACTTTTCCTCAAAAAGGTTTTGCATATTTTCCTGTGTTTTTGGAAAAATTGAAAAAATCTTGTTTGACACTAAGCTGATTATAACTCCAAGCAGTTAACCCTATTCCTGCTTTTTACATAACTCCAAAAGTATTGGTCTGAGGCTGTTGAAATTTTCTGACTTTTCCTACATACCCAAAGCCCTCCCTTCAGGCATAAAACCGGGCTTTAATACATACTAACTGCCTGAGTCCTCGGGCACACTGCCTGAATGACTGTTTTTTCCTGTAACAAACTAAATCTTTGTTTTGACCCACTTAGCTATAATAAAGGTTCTTTAAGATTCTTTGAATTCTCTTCCATTAGAACTTAAAATACAAATGGGAAATGAGACTCAGTTCTCAGTATAAAGCAAATACAGGAAACTTTTCTAAAATATCTGATTTCTCTTCCCCATAGGGGGGGGGGACTTTTTTTTATATATGTAGGGGAAATCATGGTTTTTTTCTTCCCTTAAGCCACTAGGGAAAGTAATAATATCACCATTCAGAAATAAAGGGAAAGAAATATCATTTGAATTTGCGTCTTAATACAGTGATATTAATATATTACAGTGAATCCCAGATATATGAATACATAGACGTACCGTCATAAGGTTTTTGATAATTCTAAAGAAACTTCTTTTTATTTTCAATTCGAGGTAAGTTACTAGCCCTGAAATATGAATGCAATTGATATATTAATATTAAACTCATTTTTTCCGCGGCATTTTATCTCAAATATGTAATACTACATTATAAAAAACTCTTGCTATGTATTCATATATCTTGGATTCACTGTATGTTTCTTCTTCTTTTAATATATTTTTTTCTCCCCTTTCCTCCCTTTTTTCTCTCTTCTTCCCCTTTTTCCTTCCTTTTTCTTTTTTCTCTTTTTTTCTTGAATTTTCTTCCTTAGGCTGAATTTTTCTTTTTCCACTCCCCCTTAGGGGGGGGGGGGTAAGAATATACTTGGCAATAGTTTTTCTTGAAAACCACCTGAGCAATAGAAATTGTTCTTTGACAAATGGGCAATATAAGTCTTCAAACCATCCGAGCAACAAATTGTTTTTCAACTTACATGAGCAATAACAAATATTCGCTCAAGCAGTCTTAGCAATAGAATCTTGTGCTCTTGGAGTTTAATTTTACAGTATTATATTCATATGTACTTTTTATATGTAACCTTATTCACGTAATGATCAAGTAGTTTTGTTGCATAAACGCAAATTATTTGAATTATTTTTAGATCTACAAATGTCTGAAGTCAAGTTAATTTTTTTTCATTAATTAATGAGCTAGGTTCCAAAATGACAGTTAGTTAATTGCTATGTTTCTGATCAGGGTTTTGGAGGTCGGATGTGGAACTGGCAGTACAGTGTATCCAATTCTGGAGGTGCAAAAATGTTTTTAATGTTATTTATGTTTTATTTAAACGGCAAATAAAATAATTTTGGTTTTAAATTTGTGTAGGATTTTATTTATAAATTCATATTTTTTCCTGTTCGCAATTCACTGTTGGATTGGTTGACTGGTAATTGACTGATTGATTGCTTGATTGGTTGGTTGATGGGTTGATTGATTGATTGATTGATTGATTGATTGTAGGTAAATACTGAGCCAGGGTTGATGGTTTACTGCTGTGATCTCTCCAAGACTGCTGTTAATCTTGTCAAGGTATTGTTAATCTTGCCAAAGTATTGTTAATCTTGTCAAGATACTGTTAATCTTGTCAAGGTATTGTTAATTTTGCCAAAGTATTGTTAATCTTGTCAGATACTGTTAATCTTGTCAAGGTATTGTTAATCTTGCCAAAGTATTGTTAATCTTGTCAAGGTATCGTTAATCTTGCCAACGTATTGTTAATCTTGTCAAGATACTGTTACTCTTATCAAGGTATTGTTAATGTTATCAAGGTATTGTTAATATTGTCAAGATGTTGTTAATCTTTTTAATGTATTGTTAATTATAAAAAAGATATTGTGAATCTTGTCAAGATATTTTTAATCTTGTCTGGTATTGTTAATCATGACAAGATATTGTTAATCTTGTCGAGGTATTGTTAGTGAAACATATTAGTGAACTGCGTAATCATATTTTATTATTTTTCATCACGAAAGTTGTAGACATGTGACAGGCAAACCGCAAAAGTAAAGTAAAAACGAAATTAAAAATTTGATCCTGGGTTCGTTAGAGTTGGAATTAAATTCAAGTTTAGATATTTTGAGTTTTCACGATGGGAGATTGGAGAAGAAGTAGTTTGAATTGCATTGGGATTTATTTTGTTAGGAAAGAAGTGAAATTGGTATGAATACGTTCTTTTAATGCAGACAGGATCTAATAGAACCACTTTTGTAATGCAGTCTCGGCTGCACTTCCCGAGTATTTCAACTGTCTGTATTCCTTAATTAGTTTCCGAGTATTTCAACTGTCCGTATTCCGTAATTAGTTTCCGAGTATTTCAACTGTCCGTATTCCGTAATTAGTTTCCGAGTATTTCAACTGTCCGTATTCCGTAATTAGTTTCCAAATATTTCAACTGTCCGTATTCCGTAATTAGTTTAACTACTTCTTGTTAGACGTTAGTCGTTAATCCCGTTATATGATATCTTATTTGGATAGATGTCTGCAATTATGATAGTCTATTAAAATAAAGTAATAATCTCTGACTTTTATGTCCGATCATAACTCATGAACCCCTAGACCGATTTGTCTCAATTTTGTGTTGTGAACTCGGTAGTAGCACGTTTATGTTCTTACCCTGGTTTGAAAATTCCAATTTCCGTGGTTTGACTTTTGAATTGAAAACTGAAAACTCCTGACAAAGCTGGGTTTCTAAACTAGTTTTTTTATATTTCAGGAGCACAAGGAATTCTCTCAGAAAAGATGTTTTTCATTTGTCTGTGACGTCACTAAGGACTGGAGTGAGGCGCCATTTAAACCAGAATCTTTAGGTGAAATTGAAATTTAAATTACAAGTTTGATGACCATCCTTCTTCACTTTACAAGAAAATATAGCCCCGGGAAAAATCTTGATCTAGAATTAATTTAGCAGGGCAGAGTTATCATTTATAACTCTGAATAACACTTTTTTGATGGAATAAAATCAATACATGCGTTAAACTCTAAATTGAAGATTGTACATGTGGAAAGGGGTGCAAAAAATATCATTGATTTTAGTTTCATTAGATCATTATTTCTCTTCCTAGATATAGTAACCCTGATATTTGTGCTGTGTGCTATACAGTACACCCGGAGAAGAAGAGAGATTTTAATTGTATCTCCTCCTAGATATAGTAACCCTGATATTTGTGCTCTGCTATACAATACACCCGGAGTAACCTGATATTTGTGCTCTCTGCTATTCAATACAACAAGAGAAGATGAGAGATGATTATATTTGTTTCTCCTCCTAGATATAGTAACGCTGATATTTGTGCTGTCTGCTATACACCCGGAGAAGATGAGAAATATTGCAAACCAAATATTCAAATATATGAAACCGGGAGGACAGGTCTTCTTCAGGTTAATTAATTGTTTCATGAAAAGTTGGGATTTAAAATAAAGTATGTTAGGAAGTAGAAAAGTTGGGAAAATGTGTTGGGATTTAGGAAATAGTAAGAAGTCTATTCAAATCAGACATTAGTGAGATATGAATTTAAAAGTTTACTAGCTTGGGAACCCAGCGTTGCCCAGGTTACTCATTGTTACTCCTGCCGTTTACCCGCGCTTGGTCTTAAATTACGATTTTAGCAATTTGTTTCTATAAAAGTCGACCTACTCAACTTAGAATTTCAAAACCGACATTCCCGTGGTTCCCCAATCAAAATTTGAGGCACATATGTCAAAGGAATTCTGAGTTATGATTGGACACACAACCAAACAAACAGACAGACAAAAATTACTACTTTATTATTTACAAGATTAGGAGGAGATGGTTTTTTCGTGAATTATTGATTAAGTTAGATATTTATTTAGTTAAAAGTGATTTTTAAATTTGTCAGCAAGTTTGACAACTAAATACGAGTTAGTAAATTGTAAGTGAATTAGGAAATTATGAATAAATAAGACAAGTTTAAGTGCGTTAGGTTCCTAAAAGTTAGTCTGAAAAGTAAGATGGAAAGTTGATAAGGAATTTAGGCATTTTTGTGAAAATTTATTAAATTGAAAAGATTTTTGCTAAAATGTGCTTCTACTTTAGGGATTATGGAAGGTATGATATGGCGCAACTTAGGTTCAAGAAAGGGAGGTGTATACAGGTAACAGTGAGCTAATAGTAAAAAAATAAATATTCTTAAAAAAGATCTTTAAACATGTTAATTTGCCACCCATTAGCATATTCTATATGGCAATTTACATGTGCACTGGTGCAGTATGATTATTATTCCAGTAAGGCATCAGATCTATTATTTCTGGACTGCTGGGTATCGAGGTTAGGAAAAATATCTAAACAGAATTTAAATTTTCGCATCTGTTCACGAAAACAAAATTTTAACTAGGTTAAGAAATTCAATTAATTTATCCAACAAAAAGAATAAATTGTAAAAAAGAGTTTTACAGGGTTACCCACAAAGGATGAGACTTTAAAGACGACCTGTAGTTTTTCAAAACAAGTTTATAGATGCAGTAAACCTTTGATGTAAGAACAAAGACTGAATGAATTCTGTACAGTCGTCTCTTAAAGTCTCATCATTTCTAGTTAACCCTGTAGCCCAGAGCTGAATATTTGCAGGTTTTTTTAAACTAGAGATTGAAATCTCCGGATTGTCGTTGTTCTAATCAGTCACCAATGATTGTCCCAAACCAAAATCGGAAATATTTTGTGTCTTGAAAAAAATATTATTTTTAGGATAATTTCTACGTGAGAGGAGACGGAACCCGATGCTACTTTTTCACGCAGGAAGAGATAACCGATATATTTACTAGTCAGGGGTTTAATCAGACACAGAATATAGTCGACAGAAGACTACAGGTCAGTCAGGGGTTCAATCAGACACAGACTATTTTTGATAAAAGACTACAGGTTAGTCAGGGGTTCAATCAGACACAGAATATAGTCAACAGAAGACTTCAGGTTAGTCGGGGGTTCAATCAGACACAGAATATAGTCGACAGAAGATTACAGGTTAGTCAGGGGTTCCATCAGACACAGAATAAAGTCGACATAAGACTACAGGTTAGTCGGGGGTTCAATCAGACACAGAATACAGTCGACAGAAGGCAGGCTAGTCAGGGGTTCACACAGTCGACAGAAGACTATAGCTTAGTCAGGGGGTCATCCAGACACAGAATATAGTCGACAGAAGACTACAAGTCAGGGGTTTAATCAGACACAGACTATTTTTGGTAAAAGACTACTGGTTATTCAGGTGTTTTATCAGTCTCAAATATTATTGTTAATTATTATTTTTAGACTGTATTCCACTACTCCCAACTGTGTTGATTGTTAATGTTTAAAATATAGTTTTGGGAGACTATTATCAAAAGTGTGATATTATCAATTAAATAAAAACTTAAAAAAGCTTAATATCTTGTATCTCAGTATCTGATTCAATAAGATCTTGACATAATTATTTCTAGGTGAATCGAGGCAAAAAGTTGAAGATGTACAGAGTTTGGATTCAGGCTAAGTTTGTTAAACCTATATCCAGCTGAAATAATCTAATTCGTAATGAGGAAGTATCGTTAGTTGAGTTGGAATTTATCGAATGGCTGTGATATTTTTTTTACATTTTTTCAGATAAAATGGATAAACTGAAGAAAGCTTTGACGGGACGGGATGAAGCAGAGGATGAGGAGAAGGGATTCGTAGCACAGGTAGGGAGGAGGAGGGATAAAGGATTAGATTCGTAGCTCAGGTAGGGATGAGGGATGAAGGATTAGTAGCTCAGGTAAGAAGGAGGGATAAAGGATTAGTAGCTCAGGTAGGGAGGAGGGATGAAGGATTAGTAGCTCAGGTAGGGAGGAGGGATGAAGGATTAGTTGCTCAGGTAGAGAGGAGGTATGAGAGATTTGCATTCCGGAGAACCTAGCTTCTGAGATATGAGCTAAGAGCTTGGGTTAATTTGATCTACTTTGACTCTATCTGTGTCGGAGGATCGATACAACTGAAATAATGTTGATCTAATTAATTTTTTGACCGCTCTTATTTTTTAGAATTTAGTAAGATGTGGATCCGGATCCAAATCATGTATGTTACTTCAAAGTATATTCATACTAGTTTTTTTAAACAAATGAAAAATGTTCAAAAATAATTATTTTTTGCGAATATTTCTCGAAAACTTAATGGACCGGTCAGAAGTTAAACAGTTTTGAATAATCTCGTTTAACAGTAGAGATTTGTGTTTAAGAGCAAAAAGTTGATCAAGGAGTTTTTGGTTTATATACGGTTCCGGATTTGGGGAACCGCATTTGCGGATCCATATCCAGAAAGCACTGGACCTTTTTTTTAAATTTTCCAGAAGCAATTCTGAGTCTTTTGATCCTAAACTTACTAGTTTCTTAATTCAAATTAGAGCTAGGATGTATATGTATAGTATTCACCCGTCTACAGGCCGATGATAAATTTTAATTCTAGGGCTGACTACGAATGTAGATCTATAATCAATTGGCAATTCTGAGTTAAAGCATTTCTAGAATTGCTGTGTTTACACTGAAAAGTATTAAGATCGATATTTAATGTCAATACAACTAAAAAAATATATTTTAAGGCTATAGACGTGTCCACATTATCTTGGAGTACAAGAGTTAAAGGATTCTGCATTTGTTTTCTTATAGGTAAACATAATTATTCAGTTGTCAAATGGAAATTTAAAATTCTGTTTTCGAAGAAATTAAAATCATTTAAAATAAAAATAGACTTTGGACGGAATTTAATGAATTTGACCTCCCTACAACCAGTTCAAGTTTGTATCACCGATTTAGCTCAAATTCATCAAACAGCCGGTTCAATTTTATATCACCGGTTCAAATCCTTCCGGTGCAGTGGTTCAAATTTGAACCGGAAGTATGCTGCTCGGCGACATAGCTTAAGTAATTAAAATTCTGTCCTTGGCTACTGAAAGAATTTTAATTGGCGTGTATAACCTTTAAACTTTTGTGTACTTTTTTTAAATCATCCCTTCCCCCTTGAAGCAATTTTCCAAGAAACGAATTTAAAATTGAGCTGCTATAAACTGTTAACAGGAATTTTCGAAAAAGTTTACCTTCAACCGTTTCTACACTGGATCCTTGTAAACCTTAATTATTGCGTTCTAAGGCATCCTTCTGTCTGTGATTGGTACTGTAACATTTGCCTTGGGAGGAAGTATTAAGATATTCGGAGTTCTTTATTCTTTTGGAAATATAACATCTATAGCAAGGTTAGTAGATTTTTCAAGAACTTGTTCACTGGATTTTAATTAGAAATTCTATAGAATCTCTTAGAGGTGCGGTCATAAATTTTTTAGAAAGCAACTTGTGGCTTTGTTTTAAAGATCACGAGAAAAGGCCGAAAGTGCATATGGTACTCTGAAACTAAATTTCACATGTTCACAATATCTTTTGTAAATTTTATTCTTTATTTACTCAGGTTGATTTTGATATTTTTCCAGTACATTGTTCTTGATGGGACCCGTAGCGCAGATTCAGAAGATGTTCGCGAAGACTCGTGTGATCGCTACGGTTGTGATGATTCTATCCCTGGTCTTGACTCTATGCTCTGTATTTTGGTGGGATAAGAAGATACTGGCGCTCTTCTTTGTTGTTCTACAGGTTCGATTTGATTTGGCTTGTGCTAATCTATAATTTTGCTTGTTTGATGAAAACTAATTTTAATTTAATTTGTGATAATATATTATTCTGCTTGTTTGATGAATACTAATTTAAATTTAATTAGATTTTTGCTAATTCCTATTATTTTGCTTGTTTGATGAATACTAATTTAAATTTAATTAGATTTGTGCTAATTCCTATTATTTTGCTTGTTTGATGAATAATAATTTGAATTTTATTAGATTTGTGCTAATTCCTATTATTCTGCTTGTTTGATGAATACTAATTTAAATTTAATTTGATTTGTACTAGTTCCTATTATTTTGCTTGTTTGATGAATACTAATTTGAATTTGATTAGATTTGTGCTATTTCCTATTATTTTGCTTGTTTGATGAATACGAATTTGAATTTGATTAGATTTGTGCTAATCTCTATTATTTTGCTTGTTTGATGAATAATAATTTGTATCTAAATTGATTTGTACTAACCTACCTTTTATTTATTATTTTTATTAAGGCGAATGGTATTTGATTTAATTTGTGCTACTGATAACCTATTATTGTGATTTTTGATAATTATGAATTTGGATTGGATTGGATTGGATTTGATTGGATTGGATTGGATTGGATTGGATTTGTGTTCAAGGAACTGTAAACATGATTTAAGTGACCCTCTATTTAATTATGGCAATGCCTGATCCACTACCGATCCATGAAACCTGATCAGTGATCAATCATATGGAAGATAAATTGTCATTTATATTTTCTAGGTTTATGTTTCTCCTCTAGTAGAAATGCTAGAGAATGGCAAATGTTTCTCCTCTAGTAGAAATGCTAGAGAATGGCAAATGTTTCTCCTCTAGTAGAAATGCTAGAGAATGGCAAATGTTTCTCCTCTAGTAGAAATGCTAGAGAATGGCAAATGTTTCTCCTCTAGTAGAAATGCTAGAAAATGGCAAATGAAAACATCAGTTTTTAAAATTGTAAACATGGATATCTAATTCACACCTTTTAAGGGTACCATTGTGAATCGGGCTTTTTTATTTTTGCACGTAGGGTCACTGAAAATTACGTTAACAGTCCTTTAACCTAAAATTTTGTTCGTTTGAAGAATAATAATTTGTGTTTAGTATTTGGCGATGACGTGGTATTCTATCTCCTATATTCCATACGCTAGAGATGCAATCCTCAAGTGCTTCAACTCAGTTATATCTTAGAGATATATCTTGGAATTTTAGAGATATCTGCGACCTTTGGAGATATATCTAGGCACTTCAGAGATTTATCTCATACAGGGGGGAATCATACAACCTTAGAATAAGAAGACGACATTTAATCAGTCTGATGTCAGTAGCTTGAAAACCACCTTAAGTGAAATGGGTCTGTGTACACTGCACAAACCACAGCTGTTCACTGGACTATTCAAATTATAACTAGAGTCCAACTAATTCCACAGTTTTCTAGATATTTTATCCAGGAGATATATCTGGAAACCCGCTAAGTAAGGAGATGAAATCTAAAAATTCATGTCTTAGTGATTTATATAGTGGACTTTGATCTGATCTTAGTGATTTATCTGTAATCAATCATATCTTTCTAATACATAAGTAAACCCTTAGAAATTCAAATTGTTCACAGTTAGACCCAGAAAACTGTGGTATATGAAGACGATATTTAAGCAATATTATGTTTGTGTATTTATGTTGTTTTAAAGCAAAAAGTTTCACCATTAGCTGAAAACTTAACGTTTTAATTGAAAAGAACTTATGTACACAATTGATCGGTTTCATGTTTATTGTACCATTTAAAATTATAAATTGGGTCGAACAGTCGTCTTCCTATTCCACAGTTTTATGGGTCTCCCTGTACAGTGTACAAATATGAGGGGTGTCGTTAATTATTGTTAGTAACCTTTTTCCTTTTTTAAAATGTTTATTGTCATATCATCCAAAACTAAGAAAATAACATTAAAATACATTTATTTATATATAAATATTAGAATGTAATATTTTTCCTTTATACTTAGAAATGAATGTGTACGCTGTTCACTGTACAATATATACATTGATAAACCGAAGCTTTTCCAAAAAGTGCCTGCAACAATTTATACTATTTATTCAATGTATTTTTCACATTTTTTTGTATTAAAATTCATATAAAATCAAAGCTTTTTAAAGGAGTGCCTGCAACAATTTATAAAATTTTTACTTTCTTTATTATTTCACAATTTTATAATTGATTTTGTATTCCCCTGATAAGGCTGCAACCAATGTATATCTAGTTATATCAATGACTATCAATCAAAGCTGAATATAGGGTACATCGAATTTTCAGAACGCGTTTCTAAAGGATTTAAAAAACTTTTCAAAAATAATTTCCCATTTAAAAAAAAACTTAAATAATTTAACAAGAATTTGTTTTTATAAAAATTTTTTATTTTTTTTATTTTTTAAACAATTATGTCCTGGGTTGCAATTAAACGTAAAATCTTGTAATAAATCATAACATCAGTTCATGCAAATGTATTTTCATATTGTGTTCAATGGAATAACAAAAAAGTTTCAAAATAAGTTATTTATAACTTTACACAATCATTCCAACTACGAAATATACATAAAGGGACTTAAGTCGTTAATTCCATGTGTAAAGTGTCCAATTTACAACGGTACCATGTGATGTTTTGTTTAAATGTTTACTTCTTTCAAAACTTGGTTATTTTTAACTAAATTCTATGTAAAAAATAATTGTCAAAACTAAACTCTTCAAAGCTTTCAATTCAGAAAAATTCGAATATCTTCCACATTTTTTATTAGATGAAGGTTTCACGTGTACTGAGCTGGGAACTTTAGAAACAGATACCTTTAATCCCAACTTCTTAATTCAAATATCCAATGTGGACATTTTTAAATTTTTGCTTAATCCACTTTTTTGCATATAGTACAGAAAAATCAAAACCCGGTTTTTCAAAATTAGAGAGTCCCTCCCGTATCTGTATCTTAATCTTATTTGGCGCGCAAAGTTTCTATCTTCTGATACGCGACTCTGATTGGTTGAAAAGTTACAAGATTAGGTTAGTCTCGAGATAAAGATCAAGCATTGATCTCTATCCACCATTCTAAAGTTCCCAGCTCTGATGTAAATCAGTGATGACACTTTTTTTTAAATGGAGGTTCACTTGAAATTTCGACGACAGTCCCTTTCAATAACAAAACATTCCATTTCATTTTTGTTTACAATGTATTTTGTAACAATAATGTGATATTATTTATATTTTACAGGGCATGTGATATTCATATATTTGAAAATATTTGTAATTAAATTGATCTGAAATATAGACTACTTATCTAGTACTCACTCGGCCATGTTCTTGCTTGGTATTGTACCTTAAGCTGGGGGTGACACTAAGTATTGAATATTTTTTCAGACTAAAATAATGCATCTCCGTGTTAATTATTGAGTTTTAAACAAGTTCCAAGATATCGGTTGCTTTTTTAATAAAAAGGACTGTGTGGAGATAACAGTAAATTGAACTTAGTTTTGTTCAATGATGATTCGGCTAAAAGTTTAGGCAAAACTTGTGTACGTTCCAAACTATATTTAAGTAGTTAACTATACTATAAAGTAGTAATCAATGTCTTTTTGTTTGGATTTCTGATCATACTTCATTATCGGCTTAACAGATATGCCTCATAATTTGATTGAGAAGCAGAAGCTTTGGGAGAATTCTAGGTGGAGTGGGTTGAATTTCAAGGTGAAAGTATAAATACCAGTTCCCAGGCTAGTCAATATAATAAAGCTTTTCCCTCATGTATATTTAGTAATAAGTTAACCTAGCTGACCAAATTGGCGATATTTTCTGAGCGGACCCTTTTTTAATTCCACGGGCAACACCGCACCGGTTACTTCAGCTAGTTAATAATAAAACTAATCTCCGGTATATTTAGCCTACTGGAGTGTACACCTGGTGTGCACCTGGATACGGATATATCAAGTAGTTCATCTTTTACAACCCACAACGTTAATATTTTTCGTTTTATACAAGAGTTTATTAAAAAATAATGCATCTCCGTGTTAATTATTGAGTTTTAAACAGTTCCAAGATATCGGTTAGACTAAAATAAAATGTTGAAATGATGAGATTGGACGACTTAGTGAAGCTGATCAAAATGCGTCTCAGGTGAATTTTTCTAAAATTAAAAAAAAAAATTTTTTTTTTTTTTTACTTTGCATATGTTTTCGTTGAGCTTTATTAATCCAAAAAAATCTGTATTTTTGTTGTAAATTTTGTTGTATAAATTTGATACAGGGTTACCCTTAAATAATGAGACTTCAGAGACCGCTGTACTGAATTTATACTGTCTATTTCCTTATATTCATGATTCCTGGCTACGTAAACTTGTTTCTTTGCCAAATCATTGAATAGTCGGGACATGTTCAAGACAGAACACTGAATTTAACCTTAGGATCGTCATATCTTAGGAGTTTTAAAGGGGCAGACCGGCTATGTAAGGTAGTTGAGTATGCAGTGAATTGTGGACAAAATCTTTGGGATTAATTTGTAAAAAGATTTGTAAATCCTGAGTTTGAGCGCAAAGTCGACGTTCAAAATCGTACTTTTGGGTGGATACGTTTTCAGAATTGTTTTTTTTTTAAATTAGTAAATAACGACGACAAAAATGTAAACAAAATTCTCCAGTGACCTAATTAGTTGTTTAGAAACAGGTTAAGAAAATAGAAATTAATCTTATCATCTAAAATGTAATCATATTCAATCATTAGTTTCTATAATCTCTAATTATTCAGAAAGATTTTTTGGAATTTTTATTGAAAAGACGACATTTGAAGAATTTGCAGCAATCTGGTGGATCCGCATTTGAACTACTGCCGGTTGAGTTAAACAGTTGCAAGATATCGGTTAGACTAAAATAATGCATCTCCGTGTTAATTATTGAGTTTTAAACAGTTCCAAGATATCGGTTAGACTAAAATAATGCATCTCCGTGTTAATTATTGAGTTGTTAAACAGTTGCAAGATATCGGTTAGACTAAAATAATGCATCTCCGTGTTAATTATTGAGTT